ATATGAATATAATATAATATAATATATCAAAGATATCAAAGCAAGGAAAAGGAATTGTATACTGCTAAAACCATTTTTTTAAAATCCTATCATAGGACCACAACCATTTGCACATTACTTCAGGCCTAGACAAAAGTTACCCTAATAAATATTTCATCAGCTGCATTGTCAGTCTTCAGAATAGAATATATTATTTTAAAAGAACGACAAAAACTATGTTCTATATGAATTTGGCCTATTTTTTTTTTTATTTCTGTGTCTCCATAGTAAACATTTGTATAAGTGACAAACACGGGCATATGACCACATTATCACAATCAAGAAATTTTTAAGACAATTAACAATCACTCAGTTGTATTAATTTTTACTCAACACGGGTTATACATAGTTTTTGCAAGGATTACCTAGAAGTACAATCGGTTTTAAACGTTTCACTACATTAACAAAAAAAAAAAAAATGGTGACCGACCGGTTAGTGAGCACATACACCATAATATACACAACACAAATTGAAGGCAGTATTCAGTTTGTCCCCCTCAAACTTACTTAATAATAATTAGAATTTGTACTTTTTTTTCTCTTTTGTTTTTTGTTTGCAACGGACAGTGCTGCAGGCTGAAAGGTGAATTGTTGTAGAATTATGATTGTCATATTGTTACATAAATCAGTACATTCTGCATTCATCTATATCCCAATCTTTGGTCTAAAAGTAAACAAAAGAAAATAAAATACCCTTTTTTTTCTTGCTATAGCGAAATGATATAAAATAAGTGGGCAAAATGAATAATAATAACTGTGCAGCTGGACTTTTAATTAACATAAATACGAATTAACGTTCCTCTAGTTTTGAGTATATTACTTTTAACAGTTAACCTTAGCACTTTTGAACTTTTAGAGCTATATGACTTGTAATACTGCAGATATGGATTCCTGGCCACTAGAAGTGATAGAATTGTACTGAATAACAATTAATGGTACTGAGTAACAAATAATGCAAAGCAGTCGCTATGTAGAGATCAGTTATACATTCTATAGCATCAAAAAAAAAAATGTTTTTTTGATTCCCAGAGGTCAGTGTGCTCCTACATTGCATTCACTTTGACACCACGCCTCATCTCAATAATAAAGAACCCTAGAGACTGAACAGACATACACAAAAATAAGGGGGACTTCATAAAAAATACCTGGACTTGTCTTTTTTTTAAGTTTTTTGTCTTTTTTTTTTGTTCGCTTGCTTTTTTTTTTCCTTTCAGTTTTCATGTACAATTGAAATGTGTGTAAAATGTTCACTTACAGTCTTGTTCCCCTGGATGTTAATGTATCAAAGAGTTGGTAGATGAACCCTGATTTTGATGTGTAAAGTAGTCAGACAGTCCTCCCGTTAGTCCCGTGGTAAAACTTGGCAAAGATGGTCTGAGAGACTCACAGGGGAGGGTGGAAGGAGCCTGGGGTGAGGTGGAAGAAGAGACAGCCCTGGCTGTCATGGACGTGCTGCTTTGGGAAGTTAAGGAGGGGTGGGGGACGTGTGGGAAAAAGTAGCCCGTTTGTCCAGCTAGAAGGTTCACAGAGCAAGGGTTTAGGGAGTAGGTCCCAGAACAAGGAACTGGCAGCCCGCATGGCACGGAGGCAGCCAGGGCAGCGGCTGTGAGATGGTGGGTGGCATAGGGTATTTCCCCATTGACAAGTCTGTCTACGCTCAAGCCATTGGACGTAGAGAAGGAGTGGTTGCTCCCCAAAGAGTTTTGAGTCAACACTGAACTGTAGGGCATGGGGTGGCTGGGGTAACCTGACGTTGTCCCATTGTAGCTCAAAGCGCTGCTGGCCCTCGGGTGATGCAAAGACAAGAAAGGTGACATAGGCCAGTACAAGGAGCCAGCTCTATCCATGAAAGTCAGTCCGGTGGAGGTGAGCCTGGCCCCTCGCTTGAAAGCAAGCTTAGCCCTGGACGTGGTAGATCTCCTGCGAAGCTTGCCAGTGGTCCCACCAATGAAGACATCATCGCTGCTGGGGTCCAACATCCAGTAGTTCCCTTTGCCGGGGTCATCGTAGTGACGAGGTACTTTCACAAAGCACTTGTTCAGGCTGAGGTTGTGCCTGATGGAGTTCTGCCAGCCTTGCTTGTTCTCCCGGTAGTAAGGAAAGTTCTTCATTATGAACTCGTAGATCCCATTGAGGGTCAGGCGCTTCTCTGGACTCTGGCGGATGGCCATCATGATGAGGGCATTGTAGGAGAAGGGGGGCTTCTCGTACTTGCCGTTCTTCTTCTCGCCGTCCTTGCCAGCCTCCCCATCTTTGGCACCAGCACCATCTCCTTTCTTCTCCTCGGGCTTGTCCTTGTCCGAGTCCCCTACCACCAGTTCGGAAGAGGCAGAGTCCACCTTGCCAGGGGGGAGGCTCTCGGTCTTTACCTCCAAGAGGCTTTTGTCCAGATCGTCCTCCTCCTGCACGGCTCGGTGGTGGGGCTGAGAGTGGCTGATGAGCTGGTGGTGGTGGTGATGGTGGTGGTGGTGGTGCTGAGGCTGAGGGTGGTTGTCATTTTGGACGGCTTCAGGCACCAGGCTGTTGATGCTGAAGGATGACTTGGGCATCATTTTCACTTCCTTCCTCTCCCCCATGTCCAACATATCACAAAGATGGGAGCAGGACACTCAAGTGAAGTTGCAGCAGGAAGAATTCAGGAGCAGCAGCGCTCACGGCTCTCTGTCGCACCAATGTCTCCAAACACTGGCAAGTCATGTAGCAAAAAACAAAACGCACATAATATTGGTGTTAATTATAGGGGTATAAATATAGTCATATATAAATATAATCAAGAAGCCAGGGGAGAAAATGAATCAACTACTTCATGTCCCTTCAAAATAAACACAACAACCTCCCCTCTCAGCAACTAGAGTAGACAGCTATAGCTACAATTAATTCCAGACCCAGAGACACCAGGCTGGAAAAAAAAGGAAGAATTTGGTTTAACCTTTGGGTGCTGGAACCAATGGGAGAGCTTTGGCTGCCTGGACGTTTCTTCTCCACCTGGCCAATCAGGATCAAAAGATTACCCACAATCCCACCCATGGCTTCGCCTCCTCCTCCTCCCCTCCCCCCTCCCTTTCTCCTACCAAATATCTGCCATTGCTTTCATCCCACTGTATTGGACCATCTTAGTTTTATACGTCAATATTTTCTCTTATTGATTAAAGTTTGTTTATACCTTTCTTTTAGGGAGAAAATAACCGTGGATGGAAGAAAGTGGAAGAATCAAGGGACTACTTTGCCATGCAGAGAGGACTGAGTATTTTCTAAGCTGTCGTAGTCTTTTCATGCATACAATGTAACGTTGGGCACCTAGCGATCCTTGCAGATGTGATTTATTTTTTTTGTGTGATTATTATTGCTATAAACTATTTGTTTCTTTGCTTTGGGTCGCTTGTGGGGCTCGTTTGATTCCTCTCTGCCTCTAAAGGGATCTAGCTACAATCCGGCCACTCTGTATACAACCTTCAGCAGATCGATGGATGGGCAGACTGGGCAGATCTGGGCAATCTGGTCGTTGTAACG